ACCGCCACGTCCACCGTCATCATCGCGGGCAAACGTCACTGGCTACACGGGCGTTTTCGATCATCGCCGCCAACAAGGAGAGGGTGTAATAATAATAATATGTACCGGGGGCCAACATAACAATGCCGCGGTGAAAAACGAACAAACAATGGACTTCAACCGAGCACCGAAGATGTCACGGCGAATTTTTTTCGTACACATAGTGCCGTCCATACGCGTGTTAAGTCGGTCGCAAACGATATCAGCCGATAAGGACGCGGCCATCGCTATCCGACACGAACGGTCTTTAACGAACCAAGTGAATCCCCGTAGTCGGACACTATAGCTAAGTATAAATATTTTTATCGATTACCTCTTTTTGAGTCCGTTGACAATACCGTCGAAAGTATTGCGAGTAACCCGCCCATACCGATTTTGGCGGTACAGTTCATACAAGTCTAATGTCTATCCGAGTAGTCTCTGTTTGAGAATTATTCTCTTCTTCAGCCGTTTAGGCCTATCGTGACTCCGCACAGTATCCTTCAATCTTCTCCTTTATCGTCTGCCACTTGTTTTGGTTGTCACCTGCAAGTAGCTGCAGGGCTTGTTTCAAGCTGTCTATCAACTTTTTTTAGCCTTCCCAAAGGTCTCTGAAACTTTTTTCTCTGATACATGTTTCACAGGCGTACAATATGACTGGCCGAACTAAAACGTCATACAACCAATATGTAAAACTAAGACATAGTTACTAATTAAACAATTTAAAAGCTAAATCAGAATCATGTCTTGATTTGAAACATTAATTATGATATCTGTGTGAAATAATTGCATCAATTAATTCGTTTTATGCCCTTCCATCTAACGAGTAACATAAGAGACATAAATCATTTTTTTTTCAAATTCTGTCCGATATCCAATAAAGTAAATTTATGAGAAAAAAGTATAACTTTTTTAGCATTTCCTGCACTTGTTAGAAGTCCACTTAGAAAATTAAATACATTGTTAGTTTGTCGAATTCGGAAGGTATACTATTTCTTTTGCAGCAGATAAATGTGAAAATATTTTCAAAAATAAAGCAATTTCGACGTATAGCAAATGATAAAAGATGCTTGCTAAGTCACTCGTGCAGACATTCATCAGACATTAGATAATTAAAACTTGTTTGTCGAGACATAAAGTTAATGACCGCATTAGAGTTGCCATAAAATAGAGTCGTTTTAATTGACTTTTTATTATAGGCTTAATTCCATTAAATATCATAGCAAATTAATAATTACAGGACTTATTTTAAGTTTATAATTAACAAAACATAATTTAACACAGAGAACATTTCCACGTTTGTGAGTGTCAACGACTTCTCACTATTTCTAAAATAAGTATACTTACTTAACATTTTTTTTTATTCGACTTCAACCTTGACGGTATAAAGAGAACTTTTATAAACACAAAATCACCCAAATGATTCAAAATGATTTGAACGTGGACCACATTTTTAAATTACATATTAACAATAAAAACCCCACAGCACTGCTAAATCTATAAACCGTCTAAGCCTCGTTTGGCGAGGGATTAATCAGTTAAAAAAGTGGAGGAAAATATTTTCAAATACAAATTTGTCACATTATTCTGGGTGAGATAGATTTAGGCTATCATTTTGGTAAACAGATAATATTTTTTCATAAAAAACACATATTATTTTCAATTTTCTCCACCCCCTAATGCAATTATCTTTTATTGATATATATTCATTGTTTCGTAGTAATTAAAATACGGATGGAAAAACTGTGTTAATCGGTAATTTTGAAGTGGAATATTATCATTATAACAATTTGTTGTTAACCGTTTTATGACCAGTGGCGTTATTGTAACGATGTAAAAAAAAAAAAATACAAGAGATAGTTTCAATTGGCGTCAGAAATATGAATTTACAACATCTCTATTACCAACTCATAACGATATTATATAAATGGCTGTTCGGTGTATCCTTTGGCAAACACAGTAGTAATTTTGCTGCGAAACAACTTTACTGTTTTATTGAGTGTAAACAATTGGCTAATTTTATCCTTCCTAGTTCCTTGTACAGTAACAACGATAATAAACTATAGCTCGGCACTCAATTGAATGTGTTATCCATTATTGGTAGTTAATTACAATTAAATTATGCCGGGGAATGCTTACATTTCAAATGTGAGTTGTGCATGGACAATATAGGATGAAAACTACTATACAACAACGTGCGTTCTTTACTTAAACATTTTTACTGTGACGTAGGCTCTGCGGACGAAAAATAAAATAAGAATTTTTAAACTAACAGAGTTTTAAGTGCCTATTATAGCGTAGGACCAGTAAAGGATCGATTTATCGAGTATCACTATTCGAGATGAAACGAAACTAATTTTACCGAAGACAAGAGTCTTCTTAAAAAATACTCTCTCTCTCTCGACTGTCCCAAAAGTCTTTGGGACTCGACATTTTATACATTCCTAAACGAAGGGGACATCCGTTGGACACCCTTAATGCCATTCTATTGTGTCGTGTGATCAACAGTAGTAAAACAATTATTTACTCTGAATCCTGACCAGTGCTCGGTGATTCGCACGAGCAAGTATTACATTATAAATTAGGCATTTACTTTGCGCGGGAAAATGAAAATATGTATGTTCGTTATCTAGTACATTTGTTATGTGTACATTAGTGCAGTACACGGATTATAATTAAACGGTCGAGAAACGACTCTTAATTACGGTCGGAAAAAAGCATTAAAAAAAAAAAAAAAATTAAAAAATGTTAATTTCCCAGCGACCGTAAAAAACCGCATTCACGCGATCCTAAAACATCCTAAAAAAGGATTCCCGGCGCTTATCCTTCGTTGTTTCCCCGTCTGTTCCCGTATCGCCTATTAATCTCTTACAGGACATTTGCCAAGGTTTGGCTTCCTCCTACTGTGTATACTAAACCGTACATCCGTCGAGAATGTTTGGGCCTTTTTTTTTTTTTTTTATCCCCCATAAAGTTAGTTAACCGACCGACTGACTAGAAAATTATTGGTCTACCGTTGTTTATATATTAATATATTATTATTCTGTCTGTACGTTTGCGGCAATAAAGTGGTGGTACACCGGTCGGCAATGATAAGGGTTCGTAAACTAACCCGCAGTACCGTGTACAACAAGTTGAATAATTAAATACAACGATAATAAACTAAGCTGTTGCTTTTGAAAAAGTTCCCGGACAAGCGTTTTATAAAACAAAGAAAAATAATAATGTTATAAATAATGTCATCTCGTTAAAAGGTTGTCGGTGTTGGTCAAATACAATTTTTTTTTTAAAGAGAAGCTTTAATTAAAGGCGTTGAACAAAAAAAAAAAAACAAAAGTTTAAAAAGATTGTAACTTTTTAATCCTCCGTTTAATGCTTTATCTATAAAAGTTGACGATTTTCCTTAATCCCGCTCAATAATTGAAGGTTAGAAAAATTGCTCGATATGCTCAACAGCGTGTAAATAATAAACTAGAATCAGAAATGTAAAAAAATAAGCATTTTCAACATTTAATAATCCAAACTTAAATGTTTGCAACCTGTATTTTTAGGTAAAAAATTTTGATTTTGAAAATACATAATCTGTTTTTTTCCAAACCCTAATTACAATACATATAATGCTGCTGGCGTTAATTTGAAAAACATGGCTACTAAAAATTACAAAAAATAATATGTGCAGTGCTCAAAGATAATCTAGCCATATTTATCAAATTGACGTCAGCAACATTATACTGTAGACCGGGTTAGAAAAAAAATACAGACATATATATACATATAAAGCGTATTGGCAGGTATACAAATTAGCAACATACCTAACGCTCTAGTATAATATAGATTATTCCATTATTAAAAACTTTTTTTCTACTCATTTGTTTGCACAGTGAATTATGAGGCCTGAACAATCAATCAGCCTCGTGCATGCCTTTCAGCAATGTCCAGAACATATTATAATATGGTTAATTTTTATTTTTTTTAGCATACTACACTTCATTATGCACTAAAGCTGTAATGATGAAAAGCGATTAATTTATTTATTTTATAATACCAACCTTTAAATGGAGTTACCTCAATTCTTCGCGTTGTAAAACTTTCGCTTATTCGACCAGACAATAAAAATAATATATTTTCAATAATTATTTACTACGGTATATCGTTTATATAAACGTACTTTAAAAAAACAAATTTTAAGTAATTTCATATTTAAACCATATTAACCTAAGACATGAGCCTTCAAATTCAAAATTTACTCGGCATAAAATAATTAAGGATAATGTTACAGTGATATAATCTATTCAGACGAAGAACGCACAAAGCGGCAACCTAAAAACCGTTTTTTAAGGTTATAGTAGTAATAAAATTAAACAAGTTTAACTGTTTAAACAGCCGTTGTCGTAAAACTATGAAATTATGTATCCAAAAATATTTGAATTTCGAACATGTTATTAGTATTTATTTACATATTTTTTTTTTTTTTTAATGCTTTTGTAGTGATGTTTTATTTTTTATGCTTCGTTGAAAATGTCTCATATATCGGATGATTGATATTCAATGTATTATAATTTGTTCAGTTTTCGTTGGAAAAATAATACATTATCTATGTATTTTTCTGCGTACATGTCAGTAACTAATGAAGAGAAAGGTCTTGTTTAAGTTTAATATCGCACAACGAACATGCCATCTTATTAGATAGGTTGTTGTAATAATATATAAAAGTAAACAAGCGTACAAAACTTTTTTTATCGCTGAAATACATCAATAAAAAATTAAAAAATTAGTTATACGAGCATAATTTACAAATTAATAATTGCCAAGAGCAATTAAATTGTTAAACTGTAATTTTTTTTTTTTTATAGACTTGTTACCTACAATAATATTAGTTTTAACTCTTAGATGGGTTTTACAATAATAAAGACTATTAGGAGACTATGAGCTTAATTGCGGACTATATAATTATTTTAATAATACAAATTGTGTGTTCACAGACTTATAATTTAAACGCACAAACCGGAGAGTCGTCGGCTTGTGCCACTGCGTTGCTGTGCGGGGTCAAAGCTAATTTCGAAACAGTCGGGTTGGACGGCAAAGGGAAATTTGAAAATTGTTATTCCAGCTTCGTGTCCAGGGTGGATTCACTGGCAGACTGGGCACAACAAGAAGGTACAAGTTATTATCATTATTATAATACCAGTAATAAGCGTTCAATTACAAACCACGTAAATAACAAGGAGATATCAACCTTGCCAGTGTACACGACCGATTCGCAGTATAGGACAATAGTGCCGTATTAAGATAATACTAAAGTAATTGACAGAAACATATTATTATTATAGCTATTGCAATTTTTGTTTTCGTAACTACAGACCACATAATTTACCAAAAATGTTGACTGGTCGTCGGTCGATAACCAGTTTCTGATAATTATTTTTGAATTTATTGAAGTTTTAAGTTTAGGGCAGGAGGAAAGGTGGACCGTGTAGAATTATTTTTGTCTGCACGCACTTCCCCTCTCATCCTAAATTTTAAACTGTTATAACTTTAAAAAAATAGATGTCCAAAACTAGTTATCAACTTGTCAAAAATTGTAGTAAATTATTCTAAATTTAAAAATTCAGTCAGACATCACTGTTTTAGACGATAATATTAACCCTACACTGCACGGTGTATTTACTATGATACAAACAACAAAAGTCAAGATAATGTTAAAATAAATGTATAAACATCGAATTTTTCTTTTATCGATAGTTTCTTTATCAAATGCCCAACATACTATTGTTATGAGTTCAATCTCCTTGACTTTTTTTTAACCGTTTATTTCATCATTGACAACGTGTAATAAAAACACAATAGTGTCTTAGTTTTCTCGTCAAAAATTCAATATTTTTCACTTATTACCATTGTTAAAAATATATATTCCAATGTACATACTTATGAAGAGCATATTAAATCTCACTAAACACCAGTTTTCTGATAAGTACACGTTTTATCAGTGTTTTTATAAACGTATCACCCATGATACATTGCGCACTTAGGACATAGATAAAATATACTCAAGTCAGTATTATTAATAACACACCAACAAAAGCAATAAACATAATAATACCTTTAGTAAACTTAAAATTACCAATAACATAATTATGTAGTAAAAGAAAAATTATTTTAACTACCTAATAACAACTTAGTTCAATGGTTTAGCCTTTAAATACAGTATATGAATAACACACATTTTTAATATTTTTCCTACTATATGTGATAAATAAAGTAACAATTTGTTATTTTAAGTTTACTAAAGATATTATTATGCTTATTTTTTTTTTTGGTGTATTATTAATATACTGACTTGAGAATATTTTATAAAGAATGTAATGTTATACTGCAAAAGAAGCACAATTATTATATTAATTATTATAACTGTGATTTATGTCTTAAAAAAATTTACTGTTATTGATTCTAATGTCTAAATAATTAATATTATTATCAAAAATAAATTGTTTATATTTTGGTCATGTGATTTATAAAATATTGTTTTGGTTTATTATAGCTAGAAGAAATATCCTACGTTAGAGTTACTACCCAAAAAAAATAATTTTTTAATCGAACACATTTGGCTCTACGCACAATGTATCATGAGTGATACAATTGAATAAACATTGTTTTATAGCTGATTAACATTGTTTGAAAAAAAATATATTTTTCCTGTGATGTTTTAGGGTACCTAAATCGAAAAATAATTTTTCCCTTAAACATTTTATCATGAAAATTAAATCGTGCATTGTAGGGTTAGTTAATAAAACTTTTAAAAATAAATATCATAATAACTATGTAAATCAAAGTTTAAAGAAAACGTTTCAAATAAATTACTAAGTATATTCAAGGAAAAAGCTTTTTGTATAATTCACAAACTCTTTACAAAAACATGTTATCGGTTTGATCGAGTTGGATTTTTTTTATCTTTACATACATTTTTAAATATCACAAATAATTGAAAAGAATATTTAAAAGCTTTATTGCATTCATCGTTTTATGACATGTTAACTGGAAATAGATTTAAATAATTAAATTTGACTTATTTATTTTAACATACTGTAAAACACTTTCTTGTAAATGATATTATTATAATTATAATAATATAATCGAACAAAGATTTAAAATGAAAAGTTTCTCAGAAACGTAGAGTTGTTTTTCTTTTAAACTGTATTGTAAATTGCCAAATTTTAATATAATAATAACAATATAAAAATAAAACATCTCTCCAAAATCATGACGATCAATATTTTCAGACAAAATTCTGACAGATTGAGTCGTTTGCAAATAATATATTATTAGTATATTAATTTTATCATTTGCTGACAGAGGAATAGGTCATATTTGTATTCGTTAATTAAGTTACTAAACACTATAAAATGGTATATTGTATGGTTATATGCAATATAATATATTATCCTAACTCCAAAGCACAATGTAGGAACACAACATGGCTTATCAATCATTTTTTGAAACATAATTCGTCTGCAAAGGTTGGCAAGTCGATGTAAAACCGAAGCTATGACACGATATGATTACATTGATTAACAAAAAGTATACTGTATAATATATTATACAAACACTACTTATAATAATTGTGGCTTTTTATAAATGTAAAAAAAAACCTTTTACAATTTAAAAAACAAAACGATTATAAACGATTACTACTGTTTTGAACAACAATAAAAACACGATTTTTAGTATTATTAAACATATATTTACAACGTCTATTTAAACATGCCAACCCAGTTGTAATCATACAAAACCTACCTAAATTCATTCTTTGAAAGATATTCTTTATAAAGTGCTTACAAATAGACATTATAGATATAGACTATGACGTTTACACGTTGTGCCAGGAGTGTGATAAGTCAACGAACTAAGAAGATAATGTGGTCGTGTGGGACGAGGTAATAGTTACAAGGTCCCATTTTCCTTTTTAAGCCACTAGGGGTTTCCTTTCTCGAAATGAGCAACCGTCTTGAGCGAGAAGCATCCATTATACACCGTCTATATGTAGCCAGATCTAAATGTTCCAAATGTAGTAACATGTATTCTTTTTTATAGGGGAAATATAAATTATTAATTATGAATTAAGTAAAAAAGATTACAAGAACTATTTTTAAAACAATTGTTTAGTAAATCTGTAAGGCTTTCTAAAAACTTTTTTTCAATAATTGCCCACGTTGGTTGCGTAATAGTTTTAATAGTTTTACTGTGACGCCTTCTTGGTAATATTAAGCCTTATGTATACCTTTTAGGAAAACCTTAAGTTTGCTAATCCTCTACTATCATTTCTCAGGGTGTTGCCCTGTTAATAGAACTTACAGCTTACTCTTGGCAAGGGATTTTCGACAAAATAATGTATTACAATCTATTATATTATTATGTACACTCAGTTTAATTTTTCAGCTGTTAACTTTTACTTTGAGAAAAGAATGGTTTGATCATTTTACGCTCTCGTGTGTATTTTAGGCCTAAATGTGGACCTAGCCATTTGAATATTGTGTCATATGTAAGACTTTTGCACTTAAACAGTTTGGCAAGTATTTTTTGGAGGCTATATATTATAAAGGGACAAGTCCCTGTGTGCAAAATTCTTCATTACATTACCTTTATTGTTCTGAGATTGCCATTTTTGTGCAATAGTGTTGTAAATTTACATGTTGAGTAGTCTTTCATCTTAGCTAAAAAGCGACGCCAGCCTTTCATGATTCAAGCAAATTATAAATTCTGAATAAAACATTTCTAAATAACTTTACTAAAAATTAAACAATAGTTATATTAAACATATTTTTTTATTATAGTAATATTATAAGCAAAAATTAATGAATTAATTATTATGCATGTTATATTATCAGGTTTAGCGGTAAAATAATGTGCATATTATATTTAAAAGTAAGAATAATATTATTATTGTAGTTAATATATGTTTCATACTTGAAGAACATTTTTTCGTTCATTTTATTCTGTTCTCATTTTTCATTTTAACTGTCATTCGTTTGATTTCCGAAAGCAGATATATCAGTATTAAAATATATATATACACAGATCATTGTACAAACAAAACTAATATTATAAGACATCGTTAACTACATTGCACTCACTTGAAATCAAGTCTGATTGTATAAACGGGAAAAATAAACTCTCACCGCGGTTCCTTTATTTATTTTTTTTAATATGATATTCATTTTTATAAAATATAAGAACAGTGTTTCTTGTAAATACATTTTTGATAAGTACACACTTAACCGTTCTATACTGCCAAACTGTCTGTTTTGTGTTTATTTTCCATTGGAACAATAAAATTAGCATTGACCGCAGACCGATTAATTCTTTAATAAATAAAAAAAACAACATTAATAGTATTATTTTAAATTATATAAAAATTTTATTATAATATACTAACTTGATAGCCTGCTAGAAGTTAGAATTATTTATACAGCTGATGTGAGTCATTTAAAGTTGTCTAAATATATGTATATATATATATATATTTATACTAAAGTAGATAAATAATAATTTCCATCTCGGGCATGCTGATTTTTAGTCAATACCTACTCTGTTTATGCACAGTCCTTAAACTTGATGAACCTGTTATTTTGTGAACCGTATGAACATTGAACAAACTACTATAAGTATGTAATACTCTGTCGTCCAAATATGTTGTTACAATTAAGTGCACAACAAGGACTATAGATAATCTAGCTTAAAACGTCAGTTATCAGTAGAAAAGTTATTATACAGATAATACACATATATTATCCGATAAGGCGGTAGTTTATAATTTTAATCTCGTGAAATATATATATATATATATCACACATAACGGTAAAGCCATTCTTTGCGTTATTGTGCAAGCTTAATTTGAACACTTAAATACAGTATCTTCATAAATACAATTCTAATGTTGTAAAACGTTCTCGTGAAGTCCTGAAATCCAATTACTGTGTCCAAAAGTATAAAACAAGAGTTGGTAATTTAAAACGGTTGTTTTGAACGTGTTTTTCATAGTTTAAACTATGTTTTTTTTTTTTGTTCAAAATAAGTTTAAAAAAAACAAATTTTATCATCCCCCGTCTAGACTTTGCTTTAATCTGGAAACAAACTAAAACTTTCACGCATACACTATAGTATTCCATTCGGATGTCATTAATTAAATAGACAACAAGAATGATATATATATATATTATAGCGTTTCCGTGGTAAATATAGATTTAATTAAAGGTCATAAATATTTCACAAGTGTCAGGATATATTGTCTCGGCTATTCTAAGAGTTTCGCTTAAATAGTAAAACGCGGTGGACAAAATGAAAATCTCATACTGCAGTTTCCAATAAAACTTATATTTACGATACCGCTGATTCCTTCGGTAAAGGCGCGCTATGTAAGTTGTTAGCTGTCTCAGAGTTTAATATAATATAAATTAATATGTACATACACGCAATAATTTACATCGAACATTTATTATTGTCAAGAGCGCAAAGACCAACTTTATTCTTAACATCCCTTTTGTTTTACAATATTTACCGTTGTATAAAACGTGTGGTGACGGTTGTTATTTATTTCATTGGGAAAAATCAAAACCTGAGTAATTCTGTCATTCTCATTAAAACGAGTGAATTGTTTCACACTATAAATCGAAAATCAATTTCAATAAAAATTCTTAAAGAAATTATTTATTGATGACAATAAATGCATTACTATAGGTTGGTTAAATACAACTTGAGATTTTTATAGTTTTTTATTTGATTACAGGAAAATCAACCGGGGTGGTAACTAACACCCGAATCACTCATGCCACGCCGTCTGCTTTGTTCGCCCATTCGCCAAGTCGTTATTGGGAAGACGACAGCAAAGTGCCCATTCCGTCCAGGAAATCTTGTAAAGACATTGCCCGCCAACTGGTCGAAGACGACCCAGGACGACACATTAACGTAAGTAATCAAACGAAATAAAAATAACTCCCCAAGTCAACTTACCTTATTTAATAACTGTATTGATACGCTTCAAAGTGTCAAGTATCAATGCTCTTATATTATTATCATATAGTTCAGCCGACAACGTTTTTCTAATAAAACACATTATAACCACAACATTGCTTCTGGTAGAGTTCACTAGGAAAAACATTTACATCCGTTGATTTCGGATAGGCAAAACCGCGAAGGGTCCGGAAATAACGGATGTAAAACAAAAATTAAATATCCCACATATTTAATCACACTTTGCGGAAATTGAATTCAATGAGACACGTTTAAATTTAAAAAAAACGTTTGAGAAAACAATCCACCAGAAAAGATTTATATAGGTAGTAGTGCTTACTAATTATACGTTTTGGACCGCTTCGGCGCCAACACTGAGATCGGTTTAGATGTGATTTAGAATATTACTAAAATATAAATTGAATAAATCTAGCTTTAAGTATTTCAATTATTACAAGTTATAAAGTAAGATTGTATGTATTTGCCCTTCAGCTGTCATACCGCATGGTAATTAGTATGGGGTCTCTTTATTATACACAGAGTAGCCCATACGGTTGCTGTCAACATATTTTTAATCGCGTGGTTTTTGAAAATATTATTACCCTACTGCGAAAAAAGTGTCTATAATTTTCCAAATAAAAGTTCCATTTATAATATATAGCGCGTATAGGTACTGTTTTGCGGTTAAAGTTGATAAAGTTTAAAAAAAAAGGTTCGTTTTTACATTAAAAAAATATTTCATAGTGTTGTCGCCGCGTTAACGGCGTCAGATTTATTGACTACATGTACACAATAGCTGTGCTGTTCAACTAATAATAAATGGCCCACGTGTATTGTATAATATAGAAAAAGTATACTTACAATACACGGAGAAAAAAAAAAGTGGACTATAAAAACGTACTCAATCAAAAGTTGTGGAAAGTGTTTTGAACAAATTCACCTTCTCTCGTTCGATTGTAATTATTATTTCCAGTGAAAAATAATCATTACTAAAAAGTTGCATCCGCCGATTGTTTGTGGTGTTCAAGTAGGAATAATACAAAGTCGGCACAGTTTTGCCGTCTGTCAGTTGTACACAAATAATACAACTCTGTTGGCAAGTTTCGGCATAGGATTTGCAGGTGTTAATTATGGCCTTAATGGGGTTTACAATCAGATGCTGCCCCGAGGACCCATAAACGGTGTACATAAGAAAAGCCGTTTACAAGCAATTAAAACAATGAAGGATAGGGAGTGGATAGATAATCGTTCTCCAGGCCATTATCGTTTATTTTCTTTCCGTTTCGGTTAGTTTCATGTATTTTTTTTTCATCTTACTTAACAACCGCAAACCCCCTTGGAAATGCATAGCTTAAAAGCCTCAATTATAATTGCCCTATTATTGCAATTGCTATCTATACAAGTGCTCATACTGCTTGTTGAAATTCCCTCGTGTGGAATACTCGTTTATGGATAAACTGTATTTATTGTTTAAAAAAAAAAAGAGTTTGTGTTAATAGCAATCACAAATATAGACACAGCTTATAATGGCAAGTACAATGTTTAGTGAGGGTTATCTATGTACTTGATAGGTTACTATGAATTTTAAAACACAGATTACAGATTAAACTGACATATTGTGTTACCATGAAATACAGTTTGCCAATACATTTTTTATTTAATTAACAATTTGAAATACATTTTTCGCAAAATTATTACGCCTGAAATCATGTTTTTATTTGCCATTTGAAACAAAATAAAATAAATTAAATATCTTAAACAGTTATTTTAAAAACAATTTTAAATAAACGTGTATTTTATTATTTGAATTTTTATTTAAATAAAGAAATATTTAAACTGAAAATGTATTTAAACAGTTTTTAATTTGTTGTTACGCTCGTCTAAAAAACATTAATTGTATTTGTTAAATTCGTTTTTATTTAAACATATTTTTTTCCAATAATAATTTCAATAAAAATGTATCCAAACAATGGCTAGGTTTGGTTGGAGGTAAACGCAACTTTATTTTGCAAATAAAAACGCCAAGTACGTATATATGTTTGTATTATTTGTTGTAAGATAATTTTTGTTGATTGCCGTTACAAAATATTGTTTCGAGTTCGTTAGACATATACACATATATTTGGTAATCGAGTTTATATAACTTGCGGGTAGTTTTCCGAAATAATATGTAATCCAGTTACAGTGTTTTGTTTATCCATCAGGTGAAGCAGACTATACCGATATAACATGTTGTATTATACCCCTACACTCGATGCACGTTGAACGTCTTACAAGAGTATAATAAGCAGAACATTAAATATGTAACGCGTTGTTTTCGAATTTCCCAAAACTTATTTTGCCGGCACAGTTCGTTTCCACTGTGTAAACACAGTTTGCCGAGCTTTTGTAATTAATAGTTATACATTAAAAATTGATTCGTCGCAAGTAAAAGTAATCACCGTGTTCAAACAAAATGGCCAAATTAATCTTCGAGACAATTATTGACTACTCCGATACCCAACTTGACATTTTAACCAAACGTGCGATTACGCAGTAGTGATAACCACAGTCGTTAAAAGGCAAAATTACTATCGAAAGACAGACCAAACCGTTACTAACCCAAGGATTGAATTTTGGAACAATAATTGTCAGTCTATTTTCTATGCACTCCAAACACTTTTACATCTTTATATTTTAAATCATCCACCCACTCCTCCTTCGGCCTACCTCTAACTCTAAATGCCTCTACGTTAAAAAAAAAAAATATCCGGTCAAATGTCAAAGGTATCCTGTCCGTTAAATAACAAAATCCGAGGTTTACCAATATAATGTAGACATTATAATAAGGCCAGTTGCACTATTCAAAAAGGCGCGCGTGCCAGCCGTTAGGAAATAAGGCGAATAATAAATATATTATAACAGTTCTTATTGTAGCCGAGTAATAATATGCGTTTGAAATTAAAGTCTTTCACACAAACTTTTGGGTATTTGTTTTACATAATTAATCATCCGAATTGCAGTTCCGCCAAAAGTTCTAATATTTTAATCATTATCAAATCAAATTAATTCCGTTTATTCTTTACTTGTTAGCTTTTAGTTCAATCAACGTTTCTCTTTTGTTCCCAACAAAATGTTCGTTGTGTTGCAACTTCTATACAATATGCCGGTGGTACGTTTGTATAACCCAATATACATAGTTAATGTAAATCCTAGCCATAACATTGCATTACAAAAACAACCGCAATGCCCTCCGTCCCGAATAAATTTCTGAATTCGGTTTACGCGGTACTAGATTGAGGATTTGGCCCATATGCATAGAATACATAATTATATTTTGAATTTCGCATTGATACCATAAGAGAAGCCTTGACTTATGATACATAGAGACCGAAAATTGCCCACAGACATAGTTTTTTTCTTTGGTGAGTTTAAAACGATTTTCTCAACTTTGTGGATAGTTTGTAAATTATATTGTAGCATAGGTACGCGTATAAAGTTTTAGGATTTTTGTTGCATCCAAATAATTTATCTTCAATAAATAATTAATATAACACAATATGTCATACAGGTATTTATGTTATGATCAAGCTGTGCGGTTTTTTTTTTTTTTGTTAAAATTGTCATAAAAAAGGTCACATTGACACATAACTAAACATTTTTTACTCAGACAGCGTCATGTACGATCAGCTTTATAAAATAAAACCAATAAAGGTATTAAAAAACACCCTTGCAATGGACCCATAACATCCCTACTTATCCGCTCGACAATACCACATACTGCAGAATACCGAGTCGATAACTTCACTTCGGTGGTCTTAACGTTGCTACGTGATGTTCACCTTTAAATTAAATTTCCATTATACTATTTCGTAGTTATACCCAAGTCCTAACTGTCATACATGACCGGAATACCATAAAAATAAAATACATTCAATCGCACAGTAATTGAATATTTTTTTTTTTTTTTAAATGGTCATATTATTGATATTTTTTCCAGAGTAATAATTATAATTCACTTGAGAAATGTTTGAATTCGTTAATTTTCATTTTTTTGCAGAAAACTTCACGAAAATTGACTTAAATGTTTACATGCATATAGCAGCAGCAGTGTCTTGTATTTTTACAGAACATCCCTTCTCATTACATTTGTATGATTGTTTTTATGATATTCGTATATGGATTCTCACCGTAGTACCCATTTCTCAGAACGAGATCCAGAGTTTTGAAAAATTGCTATACTGTCTGGATTTCTATTTACTTGTTGTTGTTGCTCTTTATCCTTTCCCAGTACGAGGTGATGATTGGGGTTTTTGTATAAATATTTTCAAAAACTTGAATTCTTGAACGCATCTCTGTTGGGGTTTTGTAGAATCTATCTCAGAAACATAAACATTTTTAAACAAACAATAATAATAGGATAATTTTTAATTATTTTCCAAGTTCTTTTTAAAAAAATACTCTAACTAAATAATTATCATTACGAATGCGTGTTTCGGTTAAACAATTCGATGAGGGTTTTGCAAGTATAACATACAGACTGAATGAAAGTATAGATAAATGTTCGATTGCAATAATAGATGTGGAGACGTTGGAGAAAAAAATGAAAAGAAAAAAAAGGTTTAAGGGAAGTAGATTTTAAACAGAACGCTCGCAGCTTAAGACCATCGAAGGGGAGGCGATATGAAGAGGAGTCGAATCTGTTATACATAATATTTTATTATTATACTTTCAGCGTGCATACCTAAACGATGGTAAACCATGAACTGGCCCTAAACTGGGACTAGGATGTGTGTCGCATTCAGGTTGTAATTTTTCGTCGAGTTACAAAGTTGAAATTGTAATTCCGAGTTGTCTTGCGGCAGACCCGGCAAACTTTCTATATTACAGAGTGTCGAAGTGTGAATTAAAAACGTGACCTGTCTAACCGATTCGCACGAACAATCAAACAATGGCCCAGAAACACTATTCGGTCCTTATATGCACCGGACCGACCCCACTTGAACACAACAGCCCACAAGTCGTCCTGATTGCTCGTGGTGTGTAGTGCAATATTAATACCGAACCGGCTGTGGCGTTAGGGTTTCACAAAGCCTGCCCATCTCCCCTGAACGCCTCCCTTACTTGTACCGCCGCTATTAAGGCGCACCGTGGTACATTATAGTATAAATAAATAGGCGGCAGGTGTAATCGCGTGCGTGAAAATGTCCAATCTCAAAAATAAAATGTTTTCTCAAAAAAGCCTCCCTTAAACGAGTCAGCGGTACACTAAAGAACTTTACCGTCAGACCGGGACAGAGTCTAATTTATGTATTTTATTAACAACAAAAGGATGAACCCGGTTTCTCGTCGTTCGGTCGAAACCCGACAATAGGCGATATTGTAATGGTCGGCTGTCCGGGAAATAAACAACAAGCCCGACCTACCGTGTCAGTGTGTACAGTATGTACGTACACCCCATTAAATATGAACGCATTCGAGTGCCGGCATTTTTTTTTTACCGGTAACGGTTCGGTTTACTTCACTTTTGCTGCGACTGCGATTTTTCAAGCCACGTTTTACCAACATTTTCACCGTGTATTTATTTATTAATTTCCACGTGCCAAAGGGTAAAGCGAAAATACAATACAACGTGTATATTGTGTATATAATGTGTGAAATTCAATGGAGGAATTTAGTTTTTTTTTTTTTTTTTTTCGTTAACCGTCGTATCGCTTAGAAAAGGTCGACGTTTAGAAAATCGAGTTGCACAATGCAATTACTTTAATCGTACAAGTAATCTCGCGAAAACTGTAATTTTTCATTTCGATACCGTTAGCAATTTTCTCCAAAGTAAATACATGCGGTGCCCCACGCCGATTTATGTAGTAATTGAAACATCTTCCGGAGAAAATGAGATTCCTTTATTGTGTTTTTTTTTTTTTTTGTAAATAATTCAGTACAACATAGATCATAAGTATTTTGTTTGTTGGAGCAGATACAAAGAAATAGCAAAAAAATAATGTAAAATTATGACTATTAATTTTATCGAATTATAATTTCTCATAAGTATGTTATAACACATAACATCAGGTGGACGTACAATCATTTAGTAAAAATGTAATAAATATACATTTAAAACTGTTGCGGCTGCACTCCGCCCCACATATATTTAGACAATTTTTCGCTCTAGAAAAGACTTTAGTGCACCCTCTCTTCTCCCGGGCATAAAAATCCTTCATAGAAACCGCTTTGTAACAAAACTGTATTATCAAGCCCACAGACACACAACAACAACTCCACGCCGACGATTAGGTCAGGTACGACGATGGTGTATGATTATTATCATTCCTGTTTGGGACACGCGTGTACGGCTTCGGCGTGTGATATTATGTAAATTGGTCCGGTAAGATATTTGTATCGTTTACTACGGTGTGTGTGTGTGTGTAATTTATGCGCATCGTCCGTCTCCGTAGAAAAACTTGGGAAATGGATGATGGGAAAAAAACACCAGAAAAAGATAGTAGGACGGTGGGATGGGGGGGGGGGGGGACGCGAAACTAATGCAAACGAGGATAGTGATTTTTGGAAATTAGATTGTTGGGAAAAGGTGTAAATACACGTGGGGCGGAAAAGTTTTTCGGCAACAAGATTATGCGGGGTGCACTCGTCGGCGTGAAAAGGAGAATACACACACCGATGTCGATAAGCCGAAAATCGATGCGGTCTGGCCCCATATTATACATACATATGTACGAACGGTCCAAACGGATACACGCCGGCCACAAGTAATAAACGGACGGCCATGTCAGTATCGCAATCAAGAAATTCGAGAAAATCCAATATATATATATATATATATATTATCTCTCTAAACGGCACGGCGTACGGTACAATATAACGGCGTGGGAAAAACTATTAGCGGGGCAGTACACAACCGGAAAGGTCCGATTTAAACGGTACGAAATAATAATAAGTATAACCCTTTTTGACCGTTTGGTTTATCGTTTCTAACTGTAGAAAAAAAAAAAAGAGAAAAATTCAAATGTTTACCGCCTGAACGTCCACCTTATAACATAAAGGCGACGTCCGCAAGTGGGCTTTATAAAAAACCGAAGTATATAATAATAGTAACAAAAAGGATTGAAGCCGGTGTGTTTGGGAACCGCAAACTTTAATAAACTTTTTGAAAAATAAAAGCAAGGAAAAAATGTATCAAAAATATAGTTTTAAAAAAAAAGTTCATAATATAACTAATTTTATTAATAGACAAATTTGAGGATATTTCGAATAACTTCTTATCAATAAAATGTATATCGCTATTGTTTGGACTTTAGATGAAGCTTTTTTAAATTTTCAATCATTTTTTTGATTATGTATATCAAAACTTTTTGTTGTTCGTTATTTGTTTCAAATTATTTTGTTTTTATTATTCTTCACAGTTAATTTTATTTTTACAAATATTTGTAATTGTTTATTTACTATTTGAACCCCAAAACGATTTTTTTAAAGTTTAAAAAAAAATTATCCAAGACTCTTTATAAATAATGAATAAACTAATTATCATTTTCTTATTGAGTTACAAATGTCGCTCTTCACATGTAAAATGGTATCTATATTTTATTATCTTTTTTTTATTTTTCCTAACTCTGTTAATTGAATTTTTTTTAAGTATCACAGTATCAATATCTTGTGATTGATGGGTTATCCAAAGCGGTGTTGGTGAGTTGCGGGCCAATCCCTAAATCAAGTACGAGTTGCGGCCCGGGTTTAGGAGAGAGACGTATGAGTTGCGGCCACATAATAATTACCACTTTATATTAGCCTATTAGCGTTACTCAGGAGACACCACGGGGAAGTTGGCTGAGTTATCTGCCAAAAATGTGTTTTTTGGTCAAGTTAAGGTCAAGTTTCGTCATGTTATTTGCCGATAAGCGGTTCCGTCGTTGTCATTTTAGTTTTTTTATATTATTGAGTTGACAAAAATTCATCTGTCCTAACTTTGACACTCTAATAACTTCAAAAGTAACGAGATCACAAAATACAAAAAACAAAGCGAGAATAAAAATTTAAAAATTAATTAAATCCTATTGGCTATAAGATATTGAGTGGATCTCTTTAAAAAAATCGTCCTGTATAACTAAATTGGCGATAAAAGTTTCAAGATTAACTATATTTCATTATGTATTTGTTCAACCGGCTGCGTGGTTGTTTAAATTCCTTTTCCCTTGAATTAAGATCCATAATAATTTAGATCAATGCACGTTTAAGGTACTGTTGGGCGGCGGAAGACGACATTGGTTGCCAAAAGTGACACAGGATCCTGAGCAGCCGACCGACGAAGGGAGAAGACTTGATGGTCGGAATCTAATTGACGACTGGGTTAGAGACAAAAAGAAACGGAACATCAAGGCCGAATACGTGTGGAACAAAGGTCAGCTAGATAAAGTGGATCCGAAAAATGTCGACCATCTATTAGGTGAGCACTAACCGTAGTTACTATTAAAATGCGCTTAAGAGAAACATTAAAGTAAAGGCAATTTTTCGATAAAACTCTAAATAAAGATAATACTTGTAAACCTACGCCGGTTTTCTCTTAAAATAATTATTTTGTAGTTTTTCTTTTGTAGGGCGTTAAATGAATCACCCAATATAAATATTATACTATTATAGTATTAAAATAGTCTTACTTTAAATTATTTGATAGAATACCCAAAGTTATAGAATTAAAAATGTATTGTTTTAATTTTAAACTTTTATCGATATAATTTAAAACAATATTTGCCTTTCGTTAAATATTGATAAACAGGACACACGATGCTCGCAGTATGTCAAAAACTCGCTTTAAAGCGTGTCAATAATTAATTTGAAATTTGTTGTTTACTTTTACAAGTTATGTGTAATTTTATATTGTTGTTTTGTAAAATAACTTGTAAACATTATATTATGTTATATTATTGGTGATTTATCGGTCAGCCGTTTTTTTTAACTGGCTGACAAAATTATACAAATATATTCTAACAATTTTACTTTTCAAAATAGTTCATAATAATCTTTTGAGTTCTATCGAAATACGTTCTGTTTATTTTTAAAAAAAAAAACATTGAACCGTTATTTTAACCATAATAGACTTTATAACATAACATGGCTTATACGATTTATCTTGTAGAATTTTCCGAAATCGTCCTTTTTGCGGCGTGGTAATCTTGTAAGCATAAGTTAATACGTAAACGATAATTTTTTCTCATCGCGGGGTTATCCATAAGCTTGTAATAACAAAACAGCTGGTGCCCTACTCTTTAGCTGGTTTTAACTTTATAAAAAAAAATGTCCACTTGTTTTTTTTCGTATTTTAAGAGCTTTGTTTCATGAAATAAATATCAAATCATTATCTATCATCATACGGCAACAGTGTATTTTAATAATACTACACTAAAAAATATAAATGTAGCAGGAATTTTAAAATTGTAAAAATATCTGTACATTTGAGCAAAAAATCAAATATTATTGACCTGAATAATATTTTCTAAATATTTTAAATGTAATAATTATACACAAACTAATTTCTAAACATTAAACAACTTTTATACATAATATTTTCCAGCAAACCTCGGCCAATAATTAAGGCAACTATTAAAATTCGATGCAATCGACTTTACAATGCTTAATTTAAAAACAAATTCTCAATAATAACTATTTTACAACGAATCGAGTATCAAATAATAATAATCAAAACGTTTGCGGAAAGGTAATTGCGAAACGGGCACCAAATTGTTCGAAACAAACTCACGGATAAGTTGTATTTATTTTCCTTTCTAAGTTTATTATCAAATATAGTCAAGATAAATTTGCTCCTGAAAACTTAAACGCAATATGTATCATTTGTATAATAATTCGCCGAGTGACTTTCTGCGGAACCATAAACTGTAAACTTTTAAAAGGATACATTAAAAACCTTCCACGGTTCGTTAAAAAAATAATAGTGTAAGAGTAAATATACATTTGAAACATTTCGCATTATACATTATTATTTCCTCGGTTGAAACAGCTATTGCGCTCTTCACTATATTTTATGTATTGTTACAATATCCGGATTATCCTCACGGTCAGGCATTACGGTAGAACAAGTATATTGTACAAGGGGTACTTTATAAATAATCCGAAGTTTAGCTCGAACATCGTATTTAGGTTAATAAGTTACATACGTTTTGACGCGAAAACTTCTTAGTATTGAATACTGTATGTACTTAAAGATATGATACTATTAAAATTAAGCTATTGTCAAAATGTCATCACAAACAAAATATAAGCCGATTAGGAAACATTGTTGAATTATTTATGTTGTTTTAATTATTCCCGACTGACGGCTGAACAGTCTCTCACACAGCAAACAATTTCCAAAATCTAGTCATTCATGTTTTCGATATTCTCAAAAGGTATTTTGCCACGAAATTTAATGTTTCCAAAATGTTGTTTACAAAAGATAGGTTTTGAAAATATTTCCAAATGATATTTAAACAATATATTTTAATTAGCTTGAAACCCGTGTGACGTTCTTAAAATTATAACATTACACTATATTATAAATTCATTTTGAAATAATGAAAAAAAATCATTTTTGAAAATATTTTTAAAAATATTGTCTCAGGGGGTTGTATTGAAATTCCATAAAAAAAAGAAGGAATTATATAAACAATGTCTTTTGTTTTGTTATCATTAATACATTATGTCCACTGATTACATTGTTCGGTAAACTTTAAGGTATCACATTATAGAACTTGTCAGAGTCCGTAACTGGCACGCTTATATAACTTATAGTATGCACATGCTACAGCTGTTGGGATAAACGATAAATAAATAATAAAAATATACTCTTACAAATATACGTTTAAGTAGAAAACTTATTTTACAAAAACGTTGGAGTACCTATCCATATCGTCATCATAATATATTCATCCAGTAATAAGTTCTTTACAATGGAATATTTGATCGTTTTTCCTGTGTGTGTGATCGAGTCCGTTTTTAATGGTCTTTTCAATCATGTATATTTATATATTATTATAACGACAAGCACATATTTGAAACGTATGTCTCGTTAGTGTACCCAATAAGTAAATGATAAAATGTGTTGTACTGTTTATACAGGAAGAAAAATGATTTACTATTCCAATGACCATTATCGTGGCATAACTAACGAACGGTTATTTATTTTCCAAACGTAATTCCTTATGCGTGCAATTCGTTCTGGACAAATTTTATCGGTCTACCTTTGTGTCCGGAAAGTAACAAAATGTCATATTATTTACTTATTATTTTTTTATATTTTTGTTAAATAATATTGTCGTGCGATATTAGATAAAAGGTGTGCCGGTTTTAGAGGGTAGAATGTTATTTGTATTTTTCATTAGTACCCTTAGATGAACACTTTTTGGAAACGGTTCAAAAACATAAAGGAATTGTGGCAAAACCGGTGTTTCGTGACGGTTCGTGGTTGGACTGAAGCCCAGTGTATTGGCTGTTGAAATATATCCTCTTAATGTCTATGTCGTGAAAACCGCTGAGCGAAGTAAAACCAAGTACGTTTTGTGTGATTCAGGGCTGTTCGCGTATTCCCATATGGATTTCGAGGTGGACCGTGACAAAGGACTCAACGGCGACCCTCCTTTACACGAGATGGCAGTCAAAGCACTGTCTATACTCCAGAAGAACAACAAAGGATTTTTCTTGTTCGTCGAAAGTAAGTACTATGTACATATACCTATGTGTGCCTTAACTGAAATTAATTACCAAAATGTACTCGTACAACAACAAAAATTAAGCCGAAAATTATCAAATCCCTTCGAAAAATTGGGTTTTCTTTAATCTTACATAATTGGAGGTGATTATGAAAAATATATAAAATATTTTGTTTGTAGGAGGGACAGGGTGGTCTGAACCATAGCCATGAAATCAATAGTCTTATAAAATGACAGAGTTGAATAAAAATTCAATTAAATGAAAAAAAAAACAACGAATATTCGTAAAAAAAAAGTAATAAAAATATAATTAGAAACGAATAATGATTATGTCATTTAAAATCGAATAATAATCCATCTAAATGGTTTTGTTTAACAAAATAATTTTTAAATAGTGTGAACATTTAATATTATATTTAATTTGAGTATTTCTTTATGACTAGCGCAAAATATATTTTTTTTAACACAGCAGAAACATGAAGTATCGCCCAAAATTCACGGCTAACAAGGCCCTATTCTTTAGCAATTTAAAAAAGTCTAGAATTCTAGATCAGATACATATATATCAGATAGAAACAGATATATTTATTATATAGGGTGCACCACGATGATCTGCCAGCTTTACATAATATACATTTTATTAGCAATGCAGTCAGATTATTGCGATACACCCTATCTATAAACCATACCCTAAAATAATGGCGATTTATACACAATGATAAGTTTATCGCAAATAATAACAGTAATCCTATTTTTTTTTTTAAATTAACATTTATTTATTTAGTAAAATGTCAACTAGAAATTATACCTAACTTATTTCTTTCATTTTGCTTCATAGGACACTGCCAAATTTCTCTACAAGATATAGAACAATAAACTCTAATACGCTAGAAAAGTTTAGGGTTTTATTTCTTTTACAAAATACTGAATAAGGCCAAAAAAGTTTTTAAGAGAAACAATTAAAACCATATTCGTAAAAGTATAGAAAGCAAATAATATGTTTTAAATGCATACAACAGCAACTTTTAAATATATTACGTTGACAATAATATACATATAGTTTTATACATTTTTACTAAAACACAATGCAAAAATGGGTGTAGTCTAATTTATAATGTTACCTTTAAATATGTATATAATACACGTTTGTTCATGTTTTACACAAACAACACAATTCTATTTGTATTTATATAATTTCTGCTAAATGTCTACTGGATTATATATATATTTTTTGTTTTTGAAGGTGTACACTAGAGAAAGCTTATAAAGTAGATAATTGTTAAAAAAATATATAAGTAAAAAAATTATAAAAAAAATCTGATTTTGAAAAAAGTAGAAAATGAAAAAACTAAAATCGAAATAAATAAGAAAACTAAACAGAGAAAAATATGTTTATTAGTTTAAGTATTTATAAAATAAACATTTAATTCCGAAGTTGTCGGGTTTCCTCCAGAGTTCTAACTTAAATGACTTAACTACGAATTACACAGACTTATATTTTCCAGCTATTCAGTGTAATCTATTACCGGTGATCTGTCAAATTTACATACTATACTTGACATGATACATAATCATAGAAACAAAGAATTCCACCTACAGATAAACTATTGACAAAAAAAACTTATAAATTCTTTTTACAACGACGGCGTTTTGCGGCTTAACATTTTAAATGTATTATTTGGTCTCTGTTTAGTTTGCACTTTATTATTTATATTTGTGGGCATTTACATTTTTTTGTTATGCATTTTCCTGGACTCGGCGGATATAGATAATAAAGGTATTTGAACTGTTTTCAGGTGGTCGAATTGATCACGCTCATCATTACAACAATCCGTATAGAGCACTGGAGGAAACTCTGGTGTTGGAGTCCACGCTGGAAGCTATCATGGCTAAGGTGGACTTGTCTGAAACGTTGATCGTCGTCACTGCGGATCATTCGCATGTCATGACAATGGGAGGGTTGGCTACGCCCCGTGGCAACGATATATTAGGTAAGCAACATTTTTTAGAAATCATAAAATAATGATGTTCCTGGTAAGGACGGATGGCAATGAAATCCTGTATCCGTCCGAGCCTCGCGTTACCGCACACTCGGTTTTTGTTAGTTATCCAATAAACTGACCAGAATAAAATTTTGGAAATGTTGTAACTCTTTAAGTACGCTAAACTGGAAATTGTATAGAATGAAAATTGCGTGTAAAGATTACAGACTGTCTAGACGTTTGCAATATTAAATTGGTTTATAAACTATTTATGCCCAGGTCAGACCAGTGATTTAAGTCCAAACAAATAATGTATTATAGTCCACATCTAACTATTTTAAACTTTTACTCATTACATATTATTATTATATTTTAAACTATTTGGATGAAATAGCCCATATGGGTTATTCGTTTTATTAATTGTTAATATGATACAATTATTTTGGCGAAAAGGATACGGCCTAATATAAAATGTTATTACCTCCACTAATCACCAGCAGTCAGCATAACATCTCCAACCTTGACTTGCGAATATTGTTTTTATCTTAAGAAATAATAGCTCGAAACGGAATATCACACCTGCAGTGATAACTTCCTCAATGTTTTTACAATATTCCTAAATCAATTTATAGTAAATCGATAAATTTTACATAATTTATCATATTATCATGTGACAATTAACAATGCCGTTATGTTGCATATTTGGTTGATCAGATTCCTTCCAACATGGCCGTTATCGTTTTAGATGGTTGGTGTGTTGGGAAAATATCGAAAGTAAAAAATGTTATGTCTTCAGTTCATACTGAAACATGGTTTTTGCATGACTGGTTTAATATGTCGACTGATTTTATTTGTTGACAACGATGTATAATAAATATTTTACATTATGGTATTTACTTAGTTCCCATATTATATCACGTATTTTAAGGCTTATGTTGAAAAACTCTTTTTTTTTTTTACTTAGCTACCATTTACACTGAGTTAACGAAGTTTTTTTGTTGGGATATAGTTAACAACAATAATAATTGCACAATGTTTATTTATTATTGTTTCGAATAGTATATCATTTTACGATGTATCTATATAAAAGGTAGACGATAGGTTGTATATTAAAAAAAAAACGTATAAAGAACAACGGAGAAAAGGGTATCTCGATTTTCCTCTTCTTGAGCACAATACACAGCTGAACGCAGCTGTGCAAAGTGTATTATAATTTCTTTTTTGAACATAAAAAAAAAAGGGTCAAGTGAGATACTTTCTATATATCCAATAGTTTATAGTGCGAGTTATTTGGCAATCACTAACGCATCAGTGGTGGAATAGCTTTTTGGAACAAGAGTGCCTAAGTTTGGTAACAGGTGTGTATTCGAAAAATAAAGATTTCTATTTTCCTTGGTCATTATGCAATCAATACTTTACATACTATATAGTCATGTACATTAGGTAGGTACATACATTTCACATAATTCAACATATTTTTTTAGTTTTTTTTTTTTTGTAGGGGCTTTTTATAATAAAGAACGTAAATGAAACGAAAAATGTCGAATACAATATTCATTATGCGTCAATCAGAGTGTCTGTTATATTATTTGTAATTTGATACTTTTTTTGACATATTATGTTTACGTTGTTCTATATGTAAAAGCAGAAAATCAGGAGCACATGCGTTTGACAAGGAGCGGTCAAAAGGAATCTGATATTCAAATCTTGTGACAGTCCCGTGTCCATTCCAGGCAGTCTTGTTAATTACATCGGTTCAGTCATGTTGTATAGTTGTTTTTACAAATCATTACACATTTCTGATGATAATTTTATCATGCCAAAAGAAGACACCACGCTAGATCCACCAACTTTAATTTAGAAAAAAGCTTAATCGAGTAGAACATTTTGTTTTATGTGCTTCTGAATAGTTTTAAGCTAAAACACCTATTATTAATTCCAAATAAATTTTCCTTCGATTGCAGCACTATATCTACGCGTTTTTTACTATTATTACTTGATGTTTTTTAGCGTTTTCCAAGATGTTTTCTCATTCGGCTCAATAATAACAAACGCTATATGGACATCATCGTCGTTGTTGTTATTATACAGGTACAACCTAGGTCTATAACTCAAAACTGAAAATGTGTGAACATATATATTATATATCATTGTTGTCGGTCAGACAGTCTACTTGTAAGTCGAAGATATTATTAAGCCACACACTGCGCCCACACAGTTAGCGAATTCCTATAGAAATAGTGCCGCGTTATCATCTTCTACTCAGACGTCCGATGGGACATCACACAAATTGGCAATAAAAAATATATACGAGTTCAGTCTTTGTTTTATTTAATTTATAATATAATATATACAATAATAATATGTAAAAAAACTCCTTAATTATATGTTTTGTTTAACGAAAATTAAAATGTTAAATTAACTATTGGAATACTTGCTTATTTATGACAATACATTAAATTGCAATTAAGTATTGTAAATGTTTACTATTGTGCAGACTAAGTTTGGGATTAAGTTTGACTTATTCGATTCTGTTCAAACACCACAAAAACATTATTGAGAAACATAACGTCTTGCTTCAGTGTGAAATGTTCATACTCACCTTCAATAAAAATAATTAATTAGTACAATAACTATTTTTAGTTAGTCGTGTACATTAAGGTACTAAAATATATAAACAATAATTATATATCCATATATTTTTTTTAATTTATTTTTTTATACATACATAATATGTATAAAAGTAATAATGGGGTAATCTCATTGAAAATGTATGATCACTGATTACCGTTGGAGGAAGTTCTTTGAAAAGCAAAGTTTCCTCCTGAATGCTTGATTAATATCCTTAGATAAACAGTAACTAATGTAATGATACTTTTAAGTATAATTATAACTGACCCACTGGACGTATTAAGATGAACAGTGTAAAATATATAAAACTTGCTAATTTATAATATTGATTATACTATACTGGAATTCAGAATTTACTCGAGGATACTCATTATCCATAATACATATCCATTATCCTACTATACTTAAGCAAATTTTACAAAAATCCACGCAGCCTTGACTAAAATTATCTCGTTTTTTCATTTAATTACATTATGTCGTTCTTTAAGTTTGTATATCAATAACATACATTTCCGGGGGAACGCCCATAAGAAATATTTCCAAACATAATATTAAATGAAAATAATAAACCCGAACACGATATAAAACAGTACCATAGGGAAGTACCGAAAGCTAGTAATGTAGTGGGAGTTCATAAAAGAGCTGTTTATGCTGTATTTTTTATCGCAACCACTTTACATTGCAAAAGACAAATTATATTAGCTTCGATACGTCGAAGAATAGATTTTTTAAAAAAGTACATTTATTTTGACGAAAAATTCTAAGTTTATAATTTGATTGAGTACTCAAACATAGTTCCTACCTCATGGTTTTTCGAGGCATAATAAATGATTGTAAATAAAAACGTTTACGGTACACTTAACTGTATTATCTTTTATATTAAAAGCGAAAATCATTAATAAATTATGAGCCTTGATAAAAAAAAAGGCTTCAAACATAATTATATATTATAAGTCATAATATATTATAATTATGTTTGGAACAATTCTTAAACCATGAACGTGGATAAAAATGATATGTACATTGTACACAATCGTTTAAATTGCATTTTGGTAATCAAACGTTTAAGATAATTAAATGAAAATATACATACAAGTGTAACTGAGTGCATATTAGGTAAGAGAAACATAATAAAATGTTAACAGTACTGCCAATAATAGTCTGTCAATCGACTACCTTACCTTATCTATTGTTTTATGTTGCTTCTCATAGGTAAAATGTACCTAAAATTTATCTAAATTGAGTCTTTCTGGTGACAAATAATACTAAGTCCAACGTCTTATTTGCAATTTCCAATTGGGCTGTGCACTCTTTAAGTGTTATAATTTATATACATCAAAGCGGGCCTCGACAAAAAAAAGGCATGTCCTGTTAACAAACAAAACACACAAAAACAAATAAACATGGAAAATAATTAGTCCTTAATAGCGCACGTAATTTATATCATGACTACAAACAAACTTTAGTTGCCCGATTTGCATGAAGTTACTCAAATGTTGGATGCACAAAACAAATAAAAAATTATATGAAATGTACTAGTTTTAGATTGCATTACTTATTTATAACTTTAAAATGTACGTAATATGCCATGTTGGTTTAGACTGAGGTAAAAAATGTTTTAAAAATCAAAAACCAATAATTTCATAAAGGGACTACTTAAATATTTTCAAAATATACTATTCAAAACTGGTACCCGTTCTTGCGTATTTTCTATATAGTCGTTTTCTTCATTATCGACAAAATACAATATTGTTTTTAAACCGGTTTTACAGGTTATTGACACTGTTCTTACCCGACGGGGAATTTTTCAAAATATTTTACTAGGTACGTACTTAGATAAAAATCTCATCATACACTATAGACTATGCTTTACTCATAAAACATTGTATTTCAATTGAGTGGACCATTTGCGGAATTTATATTATTTCATATTAGTTCCACCCTTACCCTCCTAAAAAGAAAAACTTGCTAAGCATTTAAAAACCGCGACACTTGGTGAATATATATAGGTATACCTATATTATATATAGGTATAGGCAAAATATCAGCAACAAAGAAAAGAAAAAATGTTTGGCATCGCATAGTTTTTTCATTAACCCTGTACAAACCCTGTACTTTATCAAGTACAAACTGTACTTGATAAAGGCTTAGAAAAAAAAAAACCCTGTACATTAAACTTAACTTTGTACATAACTGCGTTGCCAGTTTTATGCGTCAAGTTAACAAAGTCAAAATTTCAAAGCTGTGAAGAGGTTCTATAAGTACCAATTCATATGCTGAACTATTTAATTTCGTTTTTATTTAATGTCGTCGGAGTAGTGCACTTTTGAACCCAAGTGTTGCCTTTAACAGAATCTTTTTGCGTTTTACACGGATCAGCTTTTTTGCTCTTGTCCAAATAGACTCTTTTGAAACATCAAAGCCGGCGCACTGAATTCATTCAACTTGTGTCTATCAAAAACACAACGTTGTAGAAATGTACATATTTTAATGCGCCGTCGTAGCAGGCAAATAAAATGCCAGTGCGTGTACTTACTTAAATGGACGCCACACCACCCGTTTTTTGACCGCAAACCCGTTTTGTGGGGTCAAGGTTTTTTGTGTTACTAGTAGTAGAATTATTAAAAAATGTTCTCAGTACACAGAGATGAAAATTTACCAGTGTCTGTGTGTTTATTTCATTTGATAACTTAAACATAATCCGAGATATTCAACGATAAAGATTGTATTCTTTTCCTTTTTTTTTTAATTTACTGATTAAAAGTTCTTCTTTGGTTTTTTTAAAGACCATTAAGGCCCATTACCGCAACACAAACCTGCTTACATCTATCCCTTTGGTCTGCCTTGTGATCTTTTTCCTTTGGGTTTCCATTTAGTACCTCTTTCATCAAACTATTAGACCGCCACACGTGACCAGCTCATGCGATTACATTTTTGATTAAAAGTTAGTGAATATTAATACAAAAAAAAAAAGAACGCTACAACACTGATAAAGTTCTCCTCTATGTATTGTGAAAATTTGGTAATTTCACTGTGAATATTGATCTCATAAGTTTGTAAAATAGAGATAATCAATGTGATAGTCTGTCAAAAAAAAAAATGACAATAAAATATAAAGAATTGTCCTTACTGTATCAATAAATATACACTATATAGTTCAAACAATACATTTTAAATTTTGCGGAAAAGTGCCTAAAAATGGGCAGAGTGGCGTTCTCTTAAATGTTAGAAATAATAATTTTAACATTTATGCAATTGAGTCTTATAACTATAATATCTCAATTCGCATTTAACATTTCTGATACCAAATTATTAAGGGGCCACTAAATATTAAACGATTTCTGGTTAATATTGTTAACCTTCAAAGCATTGTTGAGTCGTTCCTTTAGGTTAAAATAGGGAAATTAAGATTTTTTATAAAAACCATTAATTAACAAGTATGTGTCACATCATACAATTAAATTTTCATTAGGGGGCGCTAATGAGTTGTACATAAAATATGAGAATAATTGAACGATAATATACAGCTACTAAGAAAACAACAAAACTTGCGATAACCGTAATCGTCAAGTAAAAAGTACAAGCAAGATCTGTTTTATGATAAGTCAATTAGTGTGTAATAATTTGTACTGAGTAAACCCTATAGAAATTAAAATATAACCTACTATTTTTAAAGTACCTATAATAATTAAACGCATTGTATTTCAACAATAGTTTTAAAACAACATTTTTAAAAGACGGTTGTTTTTGTACGTTTTGTTTACGTTCGTAAAAAAAAAGTATCATTTCAGTTCCTCGTTCCTTTTTCTTTCCAAAGGAAACTATTCGACGTTTCATCTCTACAAAAAAAATCGTTCCCAGAGTAAGACCATTTTCTATTCTTATCATGTCGTTTCAAACAACAGTTAAGCAATCCATTAAATTTGTTTTCGTTACCTGATTTTTCAATGACATTACTTGTTTGATATAATTTTACTAACGCGATCGCCCCCTCTCCGCCTTCTCTAATCATCATTCTTTACACTTCTTTATGTCCATCATCATTCACTCCAAACAACAATTGAGTGTACATATTGTTGAAAAATCTCTGGTGACATTAAGGCTCCACTAATAATCTTAGGTAAGTACAGAAATCTCTGAGGATTTTATGTAATTATTAAAAAACGTTGGTAATTTCAAGTAATCTCGAGAAATTTCTGCGGTAATCCGGTGTAAACGGTTGCTAACAATGATATTGACCTTCCATTTAATATCCGTCCATTAAGTGGACGCCATCCTTAGTTTTCTCAGCTCTATAATATAGCAGTCTCTCTTACACTGAGTTTCTCTCCAAAATAACATATTGTTACTTTCCTCTCGGTGTACAGTTGTACAGTTGTATGTGCTTGATTTCGCTCTTTATGTGTTGTACGATTTTTTTGTCCGGACCATTGTCTTGAAATTTCTTCTTCTTTTTTTCCAGGCGTGGACGTCAAGCCCTCCGACGTTGACGGCCTACCTTACAGCACTCTGCTGTACGGCAACGGTCCTGGCCACAGCCCCGAGCATAGGCTGGTGCCCATGATGAATGCGACGGACGAGGAAAAGCACAACCAGCTGCACAGCGCCGCGGTACCTCGGCAATGGGCCACGCACGGGGGCGAAGACGTGCCGGTCTATGCTATCGGACCACCCGGCATCACACAAGCCCTGTTCTCGGGCACTTTCGACCAATCTTACGTGCCCCACGCCATCGCCTATGTGGCATGCTTGGCCGAACACGCCAAGAGATGTCAGCAAGTGTCCAACCATAGCACCACAGATCTACCGGGCAAACTCGTGATCGGATCCATATCTCAAGTAAGTCTGACTCGATAGAGTTTTCAGGGCATCCGAGATAAAGTAATTAGGTGTATTTACACGACTGTTGTGTATTATTATCATTATAAAACGTGACTGTTTTATCGAGAACGCACAAGGATTTGTTGACCTCGTCGAGCGCGAAGTCTTCCGTTTTTTAGCGCTTTGTTTTTCGCTTAATGTTTCTCGTACTGACGCGTTGCAGCCAGATTGCTAAGTTGGCGAGAAAGTCAATTTGTAAATGGCAATGTGTTCACAAATTTTATGATACTAATATGGTACTTAAAAACGCTCTCGATTTTTTTTTCCACAGTTTTAACTTTTTATAAACTTTGTATACATTAAATTCCTAAATAAATTTATAAGCAATTTATAAAAAAAAATTTTAATAATTTAAAAACTTATTTATTTAGAACCAATACTCGTTAGGTTAGGTAAAAATACTAAAATTTAGAAGAATTATTGTCAAGATAGCTATACACAAATAGCTAAAATACTATTATATTTTCATCTATTTACACTAGTTACAATTTAATTATAATTATTACTTAGTGTATTCTCCTTAGCAGAAATGTCATACGATAAGTAAATAAATTAATAAAATACTAAAATAGTCATACTGTTTAATAATAATTAATATAAAAATAATAATAAAGGTATTGTATTAATTTGATAATTTATTAAAAAATCACTGTGTTTATTTAAATAAAACACTTTATATAATTGTATCACATTATAAAATTTGTTTATACCACATTTTTAAAGCGATACTATTATATAGGTGTACTCAGAAAATTACATAGTAGGTACATTTATGATAAAATTTATATTATTTTTCATTCGAATAATTATTCAACTTAAGATGTGCACAACTCTGAATAGCATAAAGTTTTCAAATTTGTTTAAAGATAACTTTTGGGTTATTATATTTATTTATAACAAAAAATACCCAATTTTGAAGTTACTACTGTTCCTAAAATGTAATATCTAGTACATTTCTGAAATGTATTGTAATACTATAATTGAAGCGGTCTCTAGGAAAACTAGATCCATACATAGAAGTCCATTTTTATCAGATCATTGTTTTCATGAAAAATGTTCATAGAAGTTAGATTATGTGGGTTGGTCGTTTTAACAATATAACAGAATATCAATGTCGTCGGTCTGTATTTCGTGTGTTGGTTGTCAAGTATAATATTTGCCAGAGAAACTTAAGTGTGTAGGCGTAATTGGGTTTCCTGGTATTTGCCCATTTAAATATGCTAATAGAGTATCCCTGGTACGGCCCATGGGTCACAGACGGTCTTTGTCTTTGGGAAAAATTACAGTCTGGAAAAAGAAATATCCACCCTCGCTTTCCATTCAAACGTTTGGTTAACGTTTCTGCAATTTCAAACTGTCAAATCCAAACATATTGGGAGACTTTACAAAAATGGTATAATTAGGTACCTACTGATAGTTATTAGTTTGGGAGGTGAATCGCACTTATGATTACACTGTGTAACAGTTAGATGATAACTATTTTAGTTTACTCGCAGATTTCAGAGTGTATTGGTTTAACTATGATATGAGTACATTTTTATTTGTGTCTGGACACGAAATTACTTTTTACTCTTACGTCAATTAATCAATCAATACATATTAATAAAAATAATCCCCATTTGTCGCCATACACTCTATTTTCTCCTACTGCTACTCACTGGTGGTTGTGTGTGCGTGTAACCAAACGTCCCTATTGATAATAATAAGGGTTTGGTTGGGGTGGGCGTAGGTGGTGTGGGAGTATATGAGCGTTTAAAGTGGTTAAAGTAGTCGATAGTTATTTGCGCCACGCAATCGACTAGCTTGGGCAATATGAAAAAGTTATTGGACTGTAATGATACTTATTGGTTGATATTTAATTGAAAGAATAATATTTAATCGAAAAAAAAAAATTGTAAAGGCAAATAACCACTTCGGCAACGCGCCATTACCCGCTGACCTTCGAGTGGTCACTGACTGGCGTCGGGAAGACCACACACCATACCACAAGTTCTAACAACTACAATAAACTATAACAATAATAAATAAATAAACAGGAACGTTTTCTGACTCGAGCCTAAACAATAGTATTCCATAAAATATTCTAGAAAATTCAATAATTTTCATTAGAATTTGATAGATGCGTTAAAAAAATAGCTCACAAAAACACGAACAAGTTGTGACTCGGAAGTTAAAAGAAAGTAAAATGTACAGATGTAGCTATTAGGAAAATGACCCAAGTGAAGCAAATCTACTTCGCACAATATTATGAACTAAACGTTATTAAATTTATTAATTAAATAATTTAAGAAATTTTTTTTAGTTATTAAATAAATAAAACAATAATTCTTCGAAGGCATTAAACGTATTTCTGTATACTAACGTATACTCTCATTTGGTGTTAAATGTATGATTTTATAAATACACTTCGACCCAAAGATATCCACAGTTTTACATATAAAAAAAACGTTTAAATAAACCATTTCAAGTAAAAAAAAAAGAAGTATAAATTTATAGATTAAAATGATAAAATAATGGTTTTTGTGTTTACTGGAAAACTGTGTTTTTGTGTTTGTGCCCTTTTGCACAAACACCGTCCATATATTTTTCTATTAAAAATTAAAACTACTCTATCGTAGTAATAATTACTGTTATTTGTGTTTCTATTATAAATTTTACAAAACCAGACGCTGTCCTTTTTCTGCATAATATTGCTACCAGAGGGTAACATTAATCATAATACGCAATTGTTTTAATGTTTTGGCTTGGAACGTACACTGCGTGGAACCATAAATGCAAACAAATGATACTAGTTAAAATATATTGTAATAGTATTTCATGAAGAATAATTTATTGTTGAGTTGTCAAACGCGAGCCCGAAAATAAATTGGCATTTACCCGATAATACAGTTGTGATTATTTTTAATTAGAATTTTACTTTTTAGCAAAACGTACAATTAACGAATTAACGCGACTGTGTTGAAATTTAACAGATACACATTCGAGACATCCGACAAATCACATTTTTCGCTTAGTAATCATTTTTTTTTTTTATCAATACAATATTGTAATGACTGTTGTGTAAGTATTTCGTTATTAAGCTGTTACATTAATCGATAAATACAAATTATTATTAGTCGCTACTGATGAAATTACACAAATATTATTCGTGACGGTGTTTTCAAAATGATGTTCAAATCAGTTGACAATTACCCAGCGGGCTCTCATTTGAAACCAACGGAGCGTTAAATACAAAGGCGGCAGCCAACCTAAATAGGCCAACGACATTGCCGGCTTGCCTTTGAAACCGTTTACAAGCCTTTGCCGTCAAGAGACTTTCGTGGGTAGGATTTGTGTAAAGTCTAGTGTGTGTGTGTGTGTTAGCAAGTGGGGTTTGGCGGTTCGCAAGGGGAATTTTGTTTTTAAGACAGACCCATACAAACTCGGTAGAGGTAAGCACACTATATTGTACATAAATTATACGCGGTAGGCTGAATTCAAATTTAACGCGGTGAGTTTTTATTTTTGCATTTCCAACATTTTTTTTTTTTCTATCTAAACACACTTACACACAATAATATATACATAATATACTTTACTTACCCGCTTTAATAACCGCCTCCGAGGTGACTGAATAGACGTTGACGGTATAGATTGTATTATTTACATGTGTGTGTATGTACATATTATTATGTATTTCATCGATTGTTGTAGTGAAACCCTGGGATATTTTAACTCGTTATCATTCATTGTCTCGTTGCCGGATATATACTTTGAAGCGCTTAGGCTCGTGTCACGAAAAGCTTCGAACTTAATTCTCGCCACTCTTGGTGAAGAAAAAAAATCTCCTAAAAGTATTACTTATATATATATATGTATATATATTGGCGTTTCTTCAAAGGAGTTAACATTATTTTCCACGTGGATTTATCGAATTTCGCACGATAAAATAGTATGTCTTTTTTTTCCCCTCAACTAACCCTTTCTTTTTTTTTATGCATCGACGTGCCTTTCATTGCACAAAAATGTTCTCTGGCTTTTGCATTGTTTTTAACATTTTTCAACGTCATCCATTTACGGAAAATGTAATTTTCATTTTTATCTACTGTAAAATTGTACAAAAACATTTATTTCCTCTTAGTACTAGCGACTTCAAATGTTATTTGCAATTTTCAGCTATATTTTGTTAGTATTGAGAAAAAAATCGTCTACTCTTAGATATAATATTAAATGTATTCATATGCAACATATAAAACACCTACGCTTAAACTTTGAATGACAAAATCGTGCTAAAATAATAATTCTCCAACGGTAAAAAAATATTTCATCCGATTAGTTCATTTTTAATTGCATTTCAACTGCTAGAACTATCTGGGAAAATATTTTTTATTATTTTCAATTTTGTGTAAACAATTTACATATTAATAAAATAACAACGTTTTAGTTATTTTTGTAATCTTTGTTCAGAATGGTTTTCTGTTTTTTTTTTTTTTTTTTTACAAAACAAAAATAATAATGTTAAAAAGTAATTGTTGGAATGTTTGTGGGAAATACTGAGATACGTGTGATTGTATTAGTCGCATTGTTGTCCTTTTTTAATTATATAGACACAAATTTAACGACAACAATTTGACCATTGTGATAGGTCTGGATGAGTTACAAATACTGAGTATTTTTAGATATTAACAATCCCGGAAAACAGTGTACGTATAACGTGATGTTGTTGTGTAAAATGTATATGCTGTAATTAAAACGACAAAATATGACGTCGTTTTTATATAATTACATGATGTACATTGTAGATAATGTAATTGTAGCAGGAGAATTGTCCGAGGAATAATTACACTTATAATATTATAACATGACGATATCTCGTGGTAAACACAAGGTGACCGAATATGTTTTATTATATATTATTATAATAAATTACAACCACGCCCATACATTCGTATGTCTTAGTATTTTTTTCAAACAAATAT